CTGTAGCCCACCAGGCTCCTCTGTCCATGGGATTCTCCAGGCAAGAATACTGGAGTGGGTAGCCATTCTTTCTCTAGGAATCTTTCCAACCCAGGGATCAAACCCAGGTCTCCCGCATTGCAGGTGGATTCTTTACTGTCTGAGCCACCATGAAAACCCAAGGTATTGTAATTTCTTTATTTTAATAGAGAAACCATTTTGATATAAAAATAATAAAAAGCTTTTGCTTTGAATCCAGGTCAGTTCAAGCAGAAATCATTGATGTTTTGTATCAAGAGAGATGTCAGCTCTTCAATTCAGATTGGAAGATGTGGGCATATGGTCACCATCTGGTAGCAGCTTAAAGTGAAGGGGCAGGAACTAACAACCACACATCACCTACTTAACTATTGGTATTGCCAGGTAAAGATCAAAAAATTCAAAAGCCTGTATGGGAGGGGAGTTTGGAGGAGAATGGATACACGTATATGTATAGCTGGGTTGCTCTGCTGTGCTCCTAGAACTAACACATTGCTAACTGGCTATACTCCAATAAAAAATTAAAAGGTTAAATGAAAAAAAGAGAAAACAACATATTTGATTTCAGAATCTTAAAATGTAACTATAGAGTTTTGGGTGTGTATAAGGATATGCTCCTAAAAATGTACAAAATATACAAAAATCTTAAAATCTACATGTACAGTGTATTATATGAGCATAGATGGGTCCTTTCAGGATAAGTAAATGGGAAATAAATTAATTAGTACTAATGAACTCAAAAGGGCTTCCCAGGTGGCACTAGTGGTAAAAAGAGTCAGCCTGCAAATACAGAAGACATAGAGACACAGGTTTGATCCCTGGGTCAGGGAGACTCCCTGAAGGAGGGCATGGCAACCTACTCCAGTATTCTTGCCTGGAAAATCCCATGGACAGAGGAGCCTGGCAGGCTACAGTTCATAGGGTAGCAAAGAGTCAGACACAACTGAAGCAACTTAGCACGCCTGCAATGAACTCAAAATAAATTAGATAAGAAACAGATATTCCATATCAAAATAAGTAATACCTATCTCTTATCTAATTTATTTTTAGTTCATTTGTACTAATTAATTTACAATTAAACTAATACCTTAACTTGGTTTCTATAAAAAGAAATTTCGAAAGATTCAAAGAAATTATTTACAGTTATTTCATTTAATTTCAGAAGGGAGAAAGAAGGTCTGGCCTCTTAAAAATTAGGTAGTGGTAGAAGCAGGTTATGGAGAAGGCAATAGCACCCCACTCCAGTACTCTTGCCTGGAAAATCCCATGGATGGAGGAGCCTGGTGGGCTGCAGTCCATGGGATCGCTGAGTCAGACATGACTGAGCAACTTCACTTTCACTTTTCACTTTCATGCATTAGAGAAGGAAATGGCAACCCACTCCGGTGTTCTTGCCTGGAGAATCCCAGAGATGGCGGAGCCTGGTAGGCTGCTGTCTATGGGGTGGCACAGAGTCGGACATGACTGACGCGACTTAGCAGCAGCAGCAGAAGCAAGTTATGAAAAAATTACCCAGGTCCAGGCAGCAGGCGGGAAGGCTGGCTGGCTTGCAGATAAGACACATGTTAACCTGCAGGTTCTGGAAGGTCAGGGTAAGGGTGGACACAGTAGCTTATTCCTTTCTGTACCTCCTGTGGTACTGAGCTCAGTGCCCCATACATACAAGCCAATACACATTTCCCGGAATATAGAACCTTTGACTCTGTGAAAATGGGGTTGTTCCTATAAAGAACACATTCCTGGGATTTCCCTGGTGGTGCAGTGGATAAGAGTTTGCCTGCCAATGTAGGGGACATGGGTTCAATCCCTGGTCTGGGACGATTCCACATGCCACTGAGCAACTAAGCCTGTGCACCACAACTACTGAGTCTGCGTGCTGCAACTATTGACACCCGAGGGCCCTAGAGCCAGTGCGCCGCAACAAAGAGTAGCCCCCACTCACCGCAACTCAATGAGAGAAAGCCCACCTGTAGCAATGAAGACCCAGGATAATCAAAAATAAATAAATAAATAATTTTTTAAAAAGAACACATTCCTGAGTGTTTTGTATCCTGCCCTGACTTCTGCTTGTACACACATGTGGATATGCGTATCTGTGTGAGTGCATGTGTCCCTTCTAATTTTAATAATTAAATAAATTTAATTTTAATTTGCATACAGTGTTACATTCTCCTCCCAAATTTAATTCATGTGTTTCAGTTCTAACCCCTAGTACCTCAAAATGTGACCTTACTTAGAAATAGGGTCAGTGCAGATGTAATTAATTAAGATGGGGTCATACTTAATTAAGGGTGGCCCCTTCATCCAATGACACTGGTGTTCTCATAAAAAGAATGCCAGGTATAGAGGAAGATACACGCATGAGGGGAAGACTATGGAAAGAGACCCAGGGCTGTCTACCATCTAAGAAAAGAGGCCTAGAGCAGATCATTCCTTCATAGCCCCCAATAGGAACCAGTCCAGTCAAGACCTCGATTTCAAATTTTAGCCTCCAGAACTGGGAAATACATTTCTATTGTAAGTCACCCGGTTTGGGTTCCTGGGTGTTATGGCAGCCCTAGGAAACAAATTCATATGTCAATGTTTGGCCCCTTAACTCTTTTCCCTTAAGAAATAGAGCTCAGACTTCCCTGGTGGCACAGTGGACAAGAATTCACCCGCCAATGCAGGGGACATGGGTTTGATCCCTGGTCTGAGAAGATTCCATATGCCAGCTAAAGCCCATGCAGCTAAACCACAGCAGCTAAAGCCCATGTGCCACAACTACTAAGCCTGCACTCTAGAATGCACAAGCCACAACTACTGAACCTGTGTGCCACAACTATAAAAGCACCTAGAGCATGTGCTTGGAAACAAGAGAAGCCACCACAATGAGAAGCATGAGCACTGCAACGAAGGGTTTCCCCTGCTCACCACAACTAGGGAATGCCTGTGTGCTGCAAGGAAGACCCAGCACAACCAAATATAAATAAATGGTTTTAAAAAACGAAATAGAGCTCAGCTAATCACAATAGCTAAGATGCAGAAACAACCTAAATGTCCATCAACAGATGAATGAATAAAGAAGATGTGGCACATATATACAATGAAATATTACTCAGAGATTTAAAAAGCATGAAATAATGCCATTTGCAGCTCCATGGATGGACCTAGAGATTATCATACTAAGTGAAGTAAGCCAGAAAGAGAAAGACAAATACCATATGGTACCTCTTACATGTGGAATCTAAAATATGAGATGAACAAACTTGTCTACAAGATAGAAACAGACTCACAGACATAGAGAACAGAGTTATGGTTGCCAAGGGGTGGGGGGAGGGAAGGACTGGGAGTTTGAGGCTGGCAGATGCAAACTATTATCTATAGAATGAATAAACAACAAATTCCTCCTATATAGCACAGGAAACTATATTCAGTATCCTATGATAAACCATAATGGGAAAAAAACATGAAAAAGAATTATGTGTGTGTGTGTGTGTGTATAGGCTTCCCAGGTGGCATTAGTGGTAAAGAAACTGCCTGCCAATCCAGGAGACATAGGAGACACAGGTTCTATCCCTGGATCGGGAAGATGCCCTAGAGGAGGCATCTCCAAGGAGAAGTCTCTCCAAGGAGTCTGGTGCCTGGTTAAAAACCTATATGTGCTTTTTCAGATCTGACTATAAGCTGTACCTGGCACGCCACACAGGTAGGAGAGAAAGCTGCCCTCCCCACAAGAGACTTGGTGCAAAGCCAGTGCACCACAGTCTCCGAAGGGTGGTGCAGCCAAGGGCTCAGGCCCATCCTGGCAGGTCACACTCTTCACATACGGGCATTCCTGACCCATGTGCCTTCATTCTTAAGTCTCTCCCTCTCTCTTTTTAATTGGAGTATAGTTTATTAACTGAGGTCTTGAGGTCTTCTTCAGGAGCCTCTACTGAGGCCTGCTTATTGCGAAAGTGGAGTTGAGGGAGATTGTCTTTTCTTTTTTTTTTTTTTAGTATTTTCTTGGCTGCACCACATAGCATGTAGGATCTTAGCTTCTGGACTGGGGATGGAACCCATACCCCATGCATTGGAAGCATGGAGTCTTAACCACTGGACCACCAGGGAAGTCCCTGGGGGATTTTAAGACATGTTTCCTCATTCTCACTCTGTATCCAGGACTTATCCACTCCTGACTCTTCCCCCACCTCTGATCCCCTCACTCACATGCCTCAGGGTCCATAAAACTCCAAAGCCTTCAGTTTTGGGTCCCTCAGCAGTGAGCCAACCCTCACATCTGTGCTAATCTACCTGACCCTCCATCTGTGTGCCTTCCCATGGGGGGAAAATGGACTGGAGGAATCGGCGCCCACTCCAGTCTCAGCCTCATGCTTTACCATTACAGGAAGCAATTAAAGGCTTGCTGCTTTCATTGGCTACTCTGACACCTAGAAGCCTAGTTCTCCCAATTCAGCAAGCCCCAACCTCCTCATTGATAAGACTTTCAATGCTCAGTAGTCTCACCATTGATGAGGAAAGAGCTACTCAGGAGGTAAACATTTTAACCAATCTAAATATCACCTGGTCTGCATATCGCGCATTTCCATAAAACTAGGAAATTATTTGTGATAATCTGACAACAAATCTCTTTGCCCATCTGGACTCTCTATGAGAAACTCTCTGCATCACTTAAAGTGCAAGTGGGCAAGAAGAGGAACTTAAATTTACTAAGTGTCTACTCTCTATGCCATTTCCTTTACATAGATCATCCTGTGTAATCCTCATAACAGCCCCTCACAGTGGATGTCATGTTCCTATTTTACAATTGAGAAAACAGAGTTACTCCCCCAAACTCAAAAACCTGGCAAGCAGTGGCACCAAGACACTAGCTAGGACCCATCTGTGGTGCACTGTCCACAGTCAGGAAGGCAAGGGCACTGTGGGTAGCTGGGCAATCCACCCTGGTCCGGCTCTTGAGGAAGATGCCCAAGAGCACCACAGTAGTGGGCTGCGTGTACCTTTGGGTCGTCTTTCACCCCCAGGAAGAGGTCATCCTTCAGCCCCTTCTTGCAGTGCTCACACGTGCAGTCAAAGTAGTACTGTCTCTTCAGCTGCTTCTTGCGTTCCTCACTGATGTTAAGGAAGTCGATATAGGACACCGTCAGCTCCTCTCCTTCTGAGATTTTGCCCAGGGCTCGGAGCTCAATTCTAGACCAAGATAAAGCAGAAGAAAATTCAGGGTGGGATACATGCTCTTCCAGATTTCAAGGAGTTGAACCTCAAAGACAACTTTCACTAACACTCTGAGAAAACATTCCTCCAAAAAGGGGAATTGTGACACAAAGGACAGTTTTCTGAAGAGGTCTGCTCTACTTGTCATAACAATCAAATCGGCTCCATTCAGTCTGTTGCTCTGGAATCAGCTCAAATGGACTCCCAGTAGAGAGCTGGGCTTGGTCATAAAAGCATATGAAGCTTCCATGTCTGCAATTATCCCTGTGTGTTTAGCCACTGATTGTAACAAAGGAAGGGGGAAATAATAAGGTACAAACTTCAAACAAGAGAAGACTTAATAGTCATGTCTGGTTAGTAAGGGACTGCTTCTCTCAGAAACACACATTTTCAGTTACCCACAATCTTAGCCCATTTTTGTGTCTAATTATAAGCCCTGGCTTATCTAAACTTTTGGCCCAATGGTTCAAGCCAACATTAAATGGGGAGAGTTATGCTTGGAAATCTCTGAAGGCAACTAAAGGCTGGCTCTTTAGTAGCCCACTGCATTTTTCACTTTTTTGTTTACTGGGGCACATGGATTTGGGGTTGAAGGTGGGTTAAAGAGAGCAGATGACATTTCAACTACCTTCCAGCCTAGACCTGAGCCTCCAGTTACCTACAACACTACACACCTCACCATGTAATAGAGACAGAATGTGCTGAAGACAAAAGGCCGCTGCACAACAGGCATCCAGCTAAGCCAAACCAGCAGAGACAAGCCCGTGGCCCTCTCAGCCATGCACCTTCTACCCACAAGCCCAGAAGCTATAGTAAGGGTAGTGAGCCCAGCAAACCGTGCTTCTGTATCTAAGCTGTGCTCCTGTATCTCCCCAAGACCCTGGCACCTTCCTTCCCAGAGGGAACCCATCACCTAAAAAGTAAGTGGCAGGATGCAAAGGGCTAGGAAAGCATCTGCAGAGAGGTCCACAGTCATTCCCTTCACCTCCCAGAGAGGCTGAGTCAGATGCCATGTGAAAGGCAGGAGATGGTCTCAGTCAGAGGCAACCCCTTCCACATGTTCTGAGATGACAGCCCAGCAAGGAACAGCGGAATGGCAGTGACACGTGTGTCCAGGTATCTGAGGTGACTGCTTCTCTCAAAGTGGGGTGCACTGCCATGCCCAATAAATGTGATCATATATATATATATACTTATACATACACACAGACACACACACATACACACACCCCTTATATGGAGACTGGCAAAATTGTCATCTTTAGTCCCTTGTTTCCTTTCATCTCCACTCTAATTTTTGACTGTTACTGAAGGAGTGAAAAGCAAAAGGAGAGAAGGGCAAGATGACTACTGGCAGCTCTGCTTAGAATCCTAATATGTCCCAGCTACAGGGCATTGACCTCCTCATTTCACAGATGAGGATGCTGATACCCAGAGAGGTGAAGTAACTTCCCTGAAGGTCCCACAGCACTTTGGCAATGGGGCCAAGATTTTGAACTCAAGAGCTTTATCATATCATACTGGCCACTAATTCATAGTTGGCCCAGAAGCCATAAAGAGAATACATGAATAAATACTTACCAAAAACATCACATTTACAGATACCATTTTTAGAACTAGTCTGAGTGAGAAATTGGAGGTTACGAACAAACACACAGTCCTTTAGTAGGTCAGTAATATCAACAGTCCTCATTTCATGCTAAATAGGGTTTAGAGGAATCATGTGTGGTTTTCTAAGATGATGTGGACTGGAAGGGATTGTCATACTTTGGGGTTGGAGGAGAGAAAGAAAAGAGGAGCAAAACAGAAGGAAGGAAGGGAGCAAAAGAAAGCACAGCACAGCGGGTAGTGGTGGGTGAGGAACAAGATGATTAACATAAATGCATTAAACATACAGCATTCAGCAAAGACGAGATTTGGGGGAGCGGACAGGCATTACAGACAGACAGCAACCAAGGGGTCTCAGGAAGGGGCAGTCCCAGCAAAAATCAGGCAAGTGAGGGAGATGGGTCAGAGGAACAGGGAGGTTTTCAAAGACTGACCCACCTCATCTGGGTGTGAAACATGGATTTCACTGCCTCATGACTGAAAAACAAAACAGACACCCAAATGGAAATCATTACCATTGGCTCATCCCGTACAGCTAGCAACAGTGCACAGCATTCCAGGTTATGCCATCAAAGCTTTGGCCAGCAAGACCACCTCTCTCCCAACCCCTTCTAGCTGAGCTTCCTTGCCAAGATGTAGCCCGGTATAATGGAAAATACATTTGATATGGAATGAGAAGTTCTGGGTTCAAAAGGACTCAGCCCTGGACAAATACCCTGGGCCTTGGTATTTTCATCTGTAAGCTGGCAACGAGACTGTCATAAGACAATGAATTCAAAAGTAGAGGGCTACCATATTTTTCAACGGCAGGGCAAAAAAAAGCATGTGAACCATTCATGAAAGATGCTCCTGGTTGCCAAGTCAAGTTTGAATGCCAAATCATGGGCAAATTGGGCTTGGAGTAGCCCTTCAGAGACTTAGGGTCTTCTGAGTGGTACACCAATAGGGCTTCAACTTCAAGTTACCAGCTGCATTGCCACCAAGAAGCAGAATCAAACAATCCTTGGATGGTTTACTCTGGCTAATTTCTCTTTAAATTGAAAATTGAGCGCAAGAGGAGAAGGGGGTGACAGAGAATGAGATGGTTGGATGGCATCATCGACTCAATGGACATGAGTTTCACCAAATTCCGGGAGATAGCAAAGGACAGGGAAACCTGGTGTGCTGCAGTCCATGGTGTCACAAAGAGTTGGACACGACTAAGCGACTGAACAACATCAATTTCTTTTTTAATGAAATAAATGTTCCTGCAGGCATTCTTTTCCATAAATAAGGTAAAGTGCTAAAAAACCACATGGGAAGCTACATATTATTATCCCTCTAAACAAGCCTCTTGGGCATAAGGGTGGCCTCTTTTGAGGTTTGTCTTGGGAAGAGTTTGAATGTGTCTGGAGACCAGTCACACAAGTAGTATGTAAAAATTGCTGGGATTAGAATTGGACTCCTAACACCACAACCAGTATTCTTTCCACTATGGCAGGCACCTAGACTGTTACTGCAAAGTCACCTTCTTTTACACAACAGCCAAGAAGCTCAGGTACCATGTGCCTGTTCAAAATTAGTGGATGCATTGAAGCCAGAGCAGACACTGGTGATGATCTGAAGAAAGGGCCCCCAGGTTTCTGTGGTAGTGACAAGAAAGGCACTGGGTCATCACTACTTATGGGAGTGGTACCCAGAAAGACCAGCCCCGCTTGTGAATTTGATCCTGTCTGCATACCAGGGTAACTCCAGACACCAGTCCCTCTGGGGAGGATTCCATGAGGTCCAGGCCAGGAACCCCAAGATGTTTAGGAAGGGAAACACAAATATACTGGGAAAAGATTGTCATCTGGGTCCAAAATAAACTTTCCTGTCTTGAGGGACTTTCTCAAGTGCTCAAAAGCCTAGGCTCAAAAGTCAGGCATGCCCTTGTTCCAGAATTAGGAAGGAAAAGGGAAATCAGAGTCCAGGCTCCACTAGAGCATAAGCTTGTTTCTTGGCTAAGAACCAGAAACCATTATCTTTGGGGGAAAACCTGTTATTGTTGATGACTTATAGTCAACTTGCATCATCATAAGAGCTCGTCTCTAAGAGTAAAAGAAATATTTCTTAGGCCTTTCATCCCCAATAGCTCAGACAGTAAAGAATCTGCCTACAATGCAGGAGACCCAGGTTCAATCCCTAGGTCAGGAAGACCCCCTGGAGAAGGGAATGGCTACCCACTCCAATATTCTTGCCTGAAGAATCCTATAGATAGAGGAGCCTGGTGAGCTACAGCCCATGAGGTTGCAAAGAGTCAGACACCAACTGAGTGACTAACACTTTTCTTCATATCCCCAAAGCGCCCCATCTGAACCATGGACAAGCTGGGTTCATCATGTTTTCTGATGCTTCTCCATTTGCACCCCACCCCAAATTCTGTTCTCCGCCCTTCGGTCCCCTGATCTGTGCCTTCCAGGGGGGCGAGGCTGACCTCTGAAGTTTTCATCACCAGATTCCTTGGTCCTCTGGCTCCTGGTTTAGCCAATGGGAGGAGATAAGAAGGTGGGAGGAGAGAGAAATTGGGGGATTTAGTCTCTTGGCTCCCTCTCTGCCTGACCACAGTTCCAGCTGTGCCTGGTTTCCCTGTTGGGCTGGGGGACAAACGGCCCCCTCCCATGGCTACAGCTCTCATCAGCCACAGGAACGGCACTTCCTCCATCACCCCTCCAGGTCTAGAGGAGGTCATGATTTCATGTTGCTGCCCAGACACCTGGGCACCTCACCATTCTTTTGTCAGTTTCTTCAGCTCTACCTTCACTTCTATCAATTGACCTTTTATTAAATTCTCTTAGGGTAACCCTTGAGTGTGCCTTCTGATTTCTCCTGGTAACTTGACTAACACATGCTCCTGACAAGTGCCTTCTCTGCCGATGATGCTCTGCAGTGACCCCTAGAAAGAAAATCTCAGGCTTCAAGTTCCGAAATTACATAGTAGTTAAAGGTTTATTTAACATATCTCAGCAACCTCAAGAAATATACAAAGACTCAGAAATCACTTTGCTACCTTCCTCATTACATTTGTCCTCTCTACATTTATTCTGGAATAAAATTTCAATTTTCTATCCAGATGAAATCCATGCTGCTTCAGGTCCAACAGTTTACTTTTGGTTTAAGTCAAGTGTAGAGATGATGCCCATACTGTTTCCCATCCCAAGCACACCAACCCAAGTTCAAGATATACTCACTTGCCATTGTTAAATATGACAGTGCAGTTGGGCCAACAGTCATGGTTCACCAGGGCCAGGTTGGGGAAGACGCCCACGCCCACAGCCTGCAGGCCTCGCTGGTCACTGAGTGTGAAACCATTGCAATTAATCTGCCCAGAAGAAAAGATGAGAGTCAGCTAACAGACCAGACACAGACTTGGTGCAGAACACTAACCAGCTGTTAAAAGTTTTTTAAAAATAGAAAACCTGTTCTCACTCTGGAAATGCTTAGAGAGTTTGGAAACAAAACATTTAGTCTCCTGATCTCTATGTGATTCCAAATGACCCTCAAGATTAGTACCATGTGAGAGTCTCAATTTGCACCATTACCTTGAAAGTCTGGGGTAGCTGTATTCTAAAAAAGTCCAAGATGGGAATTCTCTTGTGGCCCGGTGATTAAGACTCATTGCTTTCACTGCCATGAGCAGGGGTTCAGTCCCTGGTTGGGGACTTAGGATCTCACAAGCTACACAGCAGTGCCAGAAAAAGCCACAAACTTCCTCTTGTGTTGTAGAGATTGTGTACAATAATAAACTAATATCTGGGACACTGGGATGGCTAATTTTATGTCAATTTGGCTGGGCTGCGGTGACCAGATATTTGGTTAAACATGATTCTGTAAGTTTCTAAAAGGTGTTCTTTGGATGAGGTAAACATTTAAATTGGGAGGCTTAGAGTAAAGCAGGTTAGTCTGCACAATGGAAGTGGGCCTCATATAATCAGTCGAAGACCTTCATAAAGCCAGACTGATTCCCCAAGTAAGAAGGAATTCTTTCAGCAAACTGCCTTTGTATTTGAAACACAATTCTTCTTTTTGGGTCTTCAGCCTGCTGGCCTACCAGCAGCCCCTACAATCACAAGAGACAGTTCATTAAGTCTCTTTCTCACTCGCTCTCTCTCTTTCTACACACACACACACACACACACACACACACATCCTTGTGGTTCTGCTTCTCTGGAAAACTCTATTACAGAAGCACTGGCACATGGGGAGGACTCAGAGTGCTGAGTATGATCATACTACTTTATCACAAGAACTCCCTCCTCAGCCCACTCACCAGCAGCCCAGAAGGCACTCAGCCTGCCAGATGGGAGACAAGCCCCCAGAGCCCACACCTGAGTCTGCTGACCCACCGGGCTCCCATCCCCCCCTCCCTCATGGCTTCAGGAGGCCTGGATTTGCGGCTCAAGACAGGGCCTTGCAGAAAGCCCCTACTCTCCTCTCCCTGGGTCCCCAGGATCAGCCCACTAGGTCTGGAAAAAGGAAGAATCTTATTACCAAAATGTCCAGTCAGCAAGAAGAAATAGTGATTGGATCTTCATTTTCTTTTCTTTCAAGATTTTGGGGGGGGTGGGGGTGGGGGTGGACCATGTTTAGTCTTTATTGAATTTATTACAATATTGCTTCTGTTGTTCTGGTTTTTTGGCCATGAGACATGTGGGGGTCTTAGCTCCCTGACCACGGATGGAACCCGTGCCCCCTTCATTGAAAGACAAAGTCTCAAGCATGAAGTCCCCCTGGGTCTTCATTTTCAGTGTGGAGTAGAGAACGTATAGGAAGCACAGATGAACAAGAAAGTCAATCATCATCCAAATATGTGGTGGGAGATAAAGACTAGCTTTCGTGTGGGATGTTGATTTCAGACCCCACAGAAATGACCTCATAGTAAAGCAAGACCAGAAAGAAAACTGAGTGAGAGCTCCTCATCTAAGGCTTCCTTCGTGCTCCAGAGCTTTTCTTGGCCTCCCCAATCCACCCTTTCTCTTTTGATGCAGATCATTTTTAAAGTGTTTATTGAATTTGCTACAACACTGCCTCTGTTTTGTTTTGTTTTGTTTTTGTCATGTGTGATCTTAGCTCCACAACCAGGGATTGAACCTGCACCTTCTGCATCAGAAGGGGAAGTATTGACTACTGGACCATGAAGGAAATCCCTCCCCTTCCTCTCTGACCTGGTAGCCCACCTCTACCCCCACCTCACCCCACCCCCACGTTGGGCGAACTCTTACGCACCACGCCGAAGATGTGGGAGATGTACTGCATGCTGAACTGCTGGTTCTGCGGCGGCCAGTACTGCAGGAACGTGTCCACGTCCAGCCGCAGCTCCTTCTGCTCCTCTTCCCCGAAGTGCTCCACGTGGTTCTGCAGGTCGTCCACGGAGACCAGGCAGCCCTCGGTGAGCCCGCTGCCCTCTCTCTCCACCCGCCACATGATGCGTGCCGCCAGCCTGTGCGGAAGGGCGGAGTGAGTGAGGCCTTGCTGCCATCATTCTTTCTACAACCACTTGCGGAGTGCCTCCTGCTGCCCGTTGTGGTGTCGGGCTCAAGATAACAGTTCTGAATTAGATGGATGGAATGTCTTGTGTCATGAAGCGTCTTAGAGTGGTGGTTGGTAGTTTAGTCACTAAGTCCTGTCTGACTCTTGCGATCCCGTGGACTGTAGCCCGCCAGAATCCTCTTGTCTATGGGATTTCCCAGGCAAGAATACTGGCGTGGGTTGCCATTTCCTTCTCCAGGGGATCTTCCCCACCCAGGGATCAAACTCACGTCTCCTGCGTTGCAGGTGGATTCTTTACTAACTGAACTACTAGGGAAGCTCTCTTAGAGTCCTGGAGACCTAAGTGGAAAAGATAATCTAAACGAGTGCTAAGTACTCTGCCCAAAATCAAACAGGGTGACCTGAAGGGGGGCGGGAGGGGAAGTCAAGGTGCTCAGGGGAGGCTGGAGGAGGCACACGGGGCTGCCAGTGGCTTGAACAGGAGCCAGCCCTGTGCAGATGGGGAAAGCAGTGAGTACAATGGCCCTAGAGAGGGAGAGAGCTTGGCATGATTAGAAGCAGCCAAGTGGGGACTTAGCCAGTGATCTGGTGGTTAAGACTCTGAACTTCCACAACAGGGGACATGGGTTCAGTCCTTGCTTGGGGGGCTAAGGTCCCACATGCTGCAGGGTCCAGTGAAAAGAAGCAGGGGGTGGGGGTGGGGGAGAGAAACAGCAAGGTGCTGGAGCTAGGGTGGGTCTGGGAAACTGAGAGGGGTCAGGGGACACAGTGAGGTCCAGTCACCTGTGTCTCTCCTGACCCTATAGCTAACTGAGATGAGCACTGGAGAAGTCTGATGACTCCACTTCTTACTGTGTGACTCTGGGCAAGTTGCTTGCCCTCTCTGAACCTCTCCAATGACAATTAAATGAGGGTAATACACATTCCCTGCCATGCTAACCTCCAGAGTGCTGGTTCTCATACTGCTCTCCGTTTACAGAAGGCAGGAAGAGACCAAAGAAAGAGGCCCACCACTCCAGATTGGCGGTGGCATTCTGAACCTGCAGGGCACTCACTTAGAAAGCTTGTCTTGGGTGACCACTGATAAATAGATCTTTCACAATATACATGTATAACGAATCAACACAATGTACAATACATTTTAAATACCAATATCTTATGACTTAATCAATTACACCTCAATAAGAGGGAAATTTATAAATAAATAAAATTGCACATGAAATTACAAAAAGAAGGAATAGGGGGAAAGAAGAAGTAAGATTTCAACAGATGGAACTAAGGGGGACAGGGGATGGGGAGGCTGACTAAGCAATTTCATTTTGCAGTTTCCCATAAGTTACCAGGATATGATGATTCCAGTCTGGGCTTTAACTTCACAGTTAAAATGCTTAGTTCAAATGCTCCAGCATCACCATCCCCATCTCCTCCACTCTCCATTGCCGGCTGCCTAAGCACCTACCTGCAATCTAGCATCAGGTCCTACCCTGGCAGAGCCTCCTGGACTTGGTAGCTCTGGAATTAAGATATTGGCACAGAGATGTTTGCAAATGCAAATGCGTTTCAGGTGTAATGAGTCCAGAGGGCTAGTGTACAACCATGGGGATGAGTGGAGCTGTGATAATTTGAAAAGTTCTATTTTTTTAAAAGAAGTTAGCTGCTATTGAGCTCACATTTTGCCAAATCTTCACATTTTTTTTAAGAGAAGCCAGAAATCTTAATCTTTTTAATGTGCAACTTCCTAATTTTTTGACACGGCAGGTAAGTTTTTAATTAATTTTTATTAGAGTATACTTGATTTACAGCATTGTGTTAGTTTCAGTTGCTAACCATAAGTTTGTTTTCTACATCTGTGACACAATTTCTCTTTGGTAAATATGTTCATTTGGACCTTTTTTTTTTTTTTTAGATTCCCCATATAAGACATGTTATATGATATTAGGATCAATTTTTTTAAATTAAACATTGAGGAGCCACACAGAACAAATCTGCAGCCAGCTCCGCCCAGTGGAGATTCCCTCATAAATGGGTTTCCCAGACCAAGCGTAGCAGGGCTTCCCTAATGACTCAGAAGGTGAAGAATCCACTTGCAATGCAGGAGACCTGGGATCGATCCCTGGGTTGGGAAGAGCCCCTGGAGGAGGGCACAGCAACCCAGCCAGTATCCTCACCTGGAGAATCCCTGTGGACAGAGAAGCCTGGCGGGCTATAGACCATGGAGTCGCAAAGAGCCGGACACAATTGAGTGACTAAGCACAGCCCAGACCAAGGGAGGGCACAGAAGAAGCAATCATAGTCTCCTTGGGGCTCTCTCCTGGTTTGCTCTTAGCCCAGCTTGCTTGGACCAAGGTGTGGTGCCCCCGCTGCCACCCCACTCCTCACCTGACGTTTGGGAATCCAAAGCCCCACCCCAGGGCCCAACTCTGACCTGATGTTCTCGTTGGGCACCTTGCCGTATCTCTTGATGGCCGAACATTCGTTCTTGTGGTTCAGCCAAGCATCCTTCTGGCAGGTGCGGTCACAGTAGTGGGCAAACTTGCACTGCCCGCATCGGTGGAGCTTCTCCTGCCTCTTGAAGCAGGTGTGGCACACAACATTCACAAGGCTGGAAATAGAGGGAGAAAACTGTGACCATGGGGCACCACACCGGCTGTTGGGAGACACGTTTGGGTATGGGCTCAGTGGGCTGTCCTTGTCTTTCTCAGCTTCAGAGTCCCACTTTTCAAAATGAGGGGCTTGGGTTTCCAAAGGTCCCTTCCAGCTGTAACCATTCTTTTTTATAGTTTTATTTATTTATTTTTGGCTCTTCTGGGTCTTCCTTGCTGCGAGGGTTTTCTCTAGTTGCAGCAAGCAGGGGTTACTCCTTAGTTGCAGTCCCAGGGCTTCTCATTGTGGTGGCTTCTCTTGTTGCAGAGTACAGGCTCTAGGGCTCCAGTAGTCGTGGGTCTCCAACTCTAGAGCACAGATTCAGTAGTTGTGGTACTCGGGATTTGTTGCTCCACAGCATGAGGGATCTTCCCAGATCAGGGATTGAACCCATGTCTCCTGCATTGGCAGGTGGATTCTTCACCACTGAGCCACCAAGGAAGCCTTGGAACTATTCTTTTGGCAGATATTTTTCAGTGAAACTAATGAAGGGGACACTGTTGAACTCTGCATATAAACCCTTCAGTTTAATTCAGTAAGTATAGATTTATGACCTGTATGCATTAAGCACTGGGAATATCATAAGTTGCTGAAGGAACAATTGAACCTGGAGTCACCAGGCAACATGAGCAGCACTTTAACAGGAGGGACACAGGGTGTTCCTGGATCACAACATAGAAGTTCCCCTTTAGGACCCAGGGAAGTCTTCTAAGCCAAGGGAGCGGGTGGAAATTCCTCATAGTCCTCTTGCTGAAAGTCACAGGTCATTAGCACCATGGCGTGAGAGAGAGCATTCTGTGTCATGTGTCCTTCTTGTTGTTGAAATAGACTGTCCGTTGCCCCAAAGAATAAAAAAGTCATAATTATCTACAGTATAATGGGACATGACCTGTTTTACCCAAAATGACATCTACACATTTATGTCATAGTTCTGTGTGTTTGGCAAGAGTAAGAATGACAGAGTTACTGATGTCACCAGTGTTATGTGATGTGTTCTCTTGGCTCAGAGAGAAATTGGAAGCAATGGGTGGCCAACTCCACAAACTGCTCTGCCCCATCTGCTGTGAGGTAGAATGCCAGTAATTAATCATAAAGTGCTCAAGGGTTTGAAACGTTAGTGCTTACTTACAGGTTAGGTTACTCCTATTGTAATGTCTTCCTCACTCCCTTATATTCCCTGAAGTTTTCCCAACGAGAGAGGAAGAGTAGAATTATTTGTAATTGCACAGAATTGAAGCCCATTAATTACTATGCCACTACTACTACTTGGACCAGGAGAAGGCTAGGGACAGAGCCCCAAGATACTATAGTATAGACCTCACCCCATACTGGGTGATGGAGAGACCTTTGCAACAATGTATATAATCCTTTATCAGGCCTTGACTCAATTCAACCACCAGTTCACAATATCTTGCCTTCATTTTGTCTCATCAGAATCTTTACAATCACTTTGTTATAATAAATGTTTAATTATAATTCATGAGGAGAAAACATGATCTCGTAGTGAGCTCATGGTGGGTCCCAAATGTTAACCACCAAATCATTGTCTCCAGGCCCCCAATCTGTTTTAAATTCCATTCTACAATTTTTAAATTTTGGAGAAAAAAAGCTACAAGGATATACTGTACAACACAGGGAATATAGACAATATTTTGTCATAGCTATAAATGGAGTATAACCTTTAAAATTTGTGAATCACTACATTGTACACTTGTGACATATAACACCACAGATCAACTGTACTTTAATTAAATAAATAAAGTTCTAAGACACTTTCTGACTTATTTATTTTATTGAAGTATAGTTGATTTACAATGTTTCAGGTATACAGTAATGTGATTCAGTTATGCATATATATATCCTTTTTCAGATTCTTTTCCATTATGGGTTATTACAACATATTGAATATAGTCCCCTGTGCTGTATAGTAGGTCCTTGTTGTTTATCTATTTTATATATAGTAGTGTGTATCTGTTAATCCCACATTCCCAGCTTATCCCTGTCCCACTTAAAACCATGTCTTAGATTCCAGGAGAAAGACTGCTTCTGCCAGCCAGCTTAGCTGATGACCTTCACCAAGCCGCGTTTCTCCTCCTTAGTCTCATTTTTTCAGTCCCCCCAAGAGTCCCGTTTACACAGTGCTTTGCAATTTTCAGAGATATTTTTAAGCAATTCTCTTTTGTTAAACCTTCGCAGCAACCCTTTAGTGTATAGGTCATCACTGTCTTCCCAGGGATATCATTCTCATAGGGGTCCCTGGTGCCTGACACTGTTCCCAGCACAGAAGGCAGAGGAAGCTCCCAAACCTACCTGCTTTGAGTACAGCCCCGAGTGTGCCCCGCCCCAGCCACCGGTCCCCGCTTGCTCTTTCCTCCGCAGCCCTGGGCTGTATCATCTGTCAGAGTCAAGAGGGGTAGAAAGGCAGCTGCTGCCCAGCTCCTTGTATGGAAATAACCGGTTCCTGGACAGATAAATGCAAATAGAAGGCGCCTGCAAGGTGGATGAGCCCTCTAAAAACACAGTCAGAGAGGACTGGACTAACGGTTCTGGCTTCCTGGGCTACCTAAAAACTTGTAGCCTGAGAGGACGTCTCCCCTCAAAAATTGTGGGGGAGAGCATCTGTCTTAAAGAACATCACATCTGGGAGGGGCTTTCAGGTTGGAGGGGTGGACACATATATACCTATGGCCAATTCATGTTGATGTATGGCAAAAACCATCACAATATTGTAAAATAATTATCCTCCAGTTAAAATAATTAATTTTTAAAAAGAACATCGCATCCCTCAAGTACCCAGAGACCTGTACAATATTTTGAACTCCTTCTTTCTTCCTTGTTCCTTCCCATCTTTCTTCTTTCACAAATTTTTATTGGGCATTATTTACAACAATGTGGATGGACCTGGAGGGCATTATGCTTAGTGAAATAAGTCAGAAAGAGAAAGATAAGTAAGTTTGTTATCATGTATATGTGAAATCTAAAAAATAAAATCAACAGATGAGTATAACAAAAACAGAAACAGACTCACAGATGTAGAGAACAAACTAGTGGTTACTAATGGGGAGAGGAAAGGTGGAAGGGTCGTGATAGAGGTATGGGATTAAGAGACACAAACTACTGGGATTTCCCTCGCAGTCAAGTGGTTAAGACTCTGCACTTCCAATGCTGGGGGATGCAGTTTCAATCCCTGGTTGGGGAACTAAGATCCCACATGCTGTAATGCAGCCAAAAGATAAAAAAATAAATAAAATTTTTAAAAGGAAGGTATTGTTAAAAAAAAAAAAAGGTCTCATCATAGTTGATAATGATTCCATGATCATACCACCTTCTTCTGTAAAGACATATTTTTTTAAAAAAGAAATACAAACTACTATGTATAAAATAAATAAGCTGTTAGGAAATAAACTATAAGAATACAACACAGGGAAATATAGCAAGTGTTTCATAATAACTTTAGATGGAGTGTAATCTATAAAAATACTGAATCAGTGTGTCATACTCTTGAAACTAATATGATATCGTAAATTAACTGTACTTCAATTTTTGCATTTTTTGTTTGTTTTTATTTCTATTTTTTACTATATTTCCATTTTTAAAAGTAAATTAAATGTTCTAAGTATATTAAAAAGCATTTATTGAGCATCTATTATGTGCCTTGCCTTGAGCTAGCTGACAAAGATAAAGAAGATACAGACTTTGCCTTCAAGCAGTCCCCAGTTTGGGCTGGGGCATAAACACATATAAGGAAGGTGAGGCATGCCCCCCAGGAATCCTGCTGCAGGATTCAAGGTCAAGGAAGGAAGAATCTGGGAAAGCCATCACCAAGGAGGCAGGGAGGCATGGTTCTGACCGTCTGAAGATGAACTGAGTTATACATAGAATATAGAAGGTCAAGTGCTTCTGCCATGGAGAGGCACTGGCATGAGTCAAGGGCTTCCATGGGGGAAGCAGTTAGGGCAGGTGTGTCTAGGAGACAGGAGGAACTGTTTGACAAGATCACATTATTGAGAAATAATGTTGGAAAAATGACTGGACTGACCTAGAATGCATCTTTCAGTGGTAAGACCTTATTCTGCAGGTGCGGGGGGGGGGGGGGGGGGGGGGAGAGAATGGGTCCAGTGGAGGCTTCTGCAGAGAGGAGAAACACGGCCAGAGTTGGGACACTCAGTTTCTCTTTGCTACAGCATCTACCTAATGTCATTTTTTAAATTATTTATTTGTTTGTTTTTGGCTTTGCTGGGTCTTTGTTGCTGCTCGGGCTTTTCTCTAGTTGTGATGGGGGACACTCTCTAGTTGCAGTGTGTAGCCTTCTCATTGCAGTGTCTTCTCTTGTTGCAGTGCATGGGCTCTAGGCAGGTGGGCTTCAGTAGTGCTGTACATGGGCTCTGGACCTCAGTAGTTGTGGCATTTGGGCTTTGTTGCTCCACAGCATGTGGGATCTTCCCGGATCGGGGATCAAACCCTGTATCTCCTGCACTGGCAGGTGGATTCTTCACCACTGAGCCACCAGGGAAGCCCCCAATCATGTTTTTAAATGGCCCGTGTCAATCCTTAAGGGATTCACGTTTGCACAGTTATTTACCTTAGCGAAGTTAGGTGGTGCTACATCCCTAGAACAGACCTAGAGATTTTTAACATTTCTTTGATTAAAATAGCAACTTTCAAGATTTTCTCTGCCATAGCTCCCAAGACAAGGCTCACACACCTCACTCAGACCTGGATGCACCTCCCACACTCTTAGTACTAAACCCCTCTTCCCAGACTCAGAACACATCTTCAGATGCAAATGAGAGAAGGTGACATTGTTTGGGGGACAACTTGGCATTTGACCTAATCTCTGCTTAAAAGACTATTATCCCCAAACTTCTGCATTTAAGAATTAGTTAATAAAGTTTGGCAACTCAGCTCACTATGGGTCGTGTGACATATCAACACGTCTGACCTCTGCAGATGAATTAA